GCTGACGTGTCGTCTTCTATTTGCATTTTCTTACCACAACACCACAAACCCTTGGGCTTGGGTATGTTAACTTTGGATCTTAGGCAAATTATACAGAAGTCATTGGCGAACTTTTTACATTCATGCATATATAAGACAAATATTCCTAACATTCGCGCAACATATAACAGAACACGGGTAATTCCCGCGGGGACGCTAGTGCGTAAACACAGGTAATTCCCGGGCGATTCCAAATGGTGACCGCGAGTCCCCCTTACTGCCTACGGGTTTGGTACGGGTAAGGTGGACAAATCGGATATTTGCCTAAAAGTCCGTAGAGTTGGCTCAGATAATTCCCAAGGGGGCCGCCGTTACGTGGGGGCAGGTAATCCCCGGCGTATTCCGAACAGCAGTCGCGAATCCCCCTTACTGCTGCTGAGATTACCGACATCTTCCCGCGTCGTTTTCTCCCCTTATGTTTCAAACCGCTGACACATGTATTTCAATAATTTATGTGACGTCAACAAAAAAAAGATAGTAAATAACTCATATTGGTGACGTCAACTATTCAAAAGTTTGACTAAATGCACCCTAACAGAGAGTTTGTATTATGTAGGGCGGATCCAGGGTTGGTAAAAGGGGCAGGGTGACTAGTCTTCGAATTCCTGGTAAAACCTTTGTAATAGTAACCCCCTCCCCCTTTCCCCTTCTAAAATTTCCTGGATCCGCTCCTGAGGTTAATGCTGATGTAACTAAAGTTATTGTATTGTATTGTATGTCTATGCGTCCGTCTCCGCCGCGCGCGCACCAATAAAAGTGCCTGGGTCCGGCTAGGTACTCTGGACTAGTATCTTATTGCCTTAAAAACAACCCTAGAGGACCTGAAAGAGGCACTGACGTAMTTTCTCGGGGTGGATCTAGGATTTTTAGTATGGGGGAACACAAAATAAAGAAGATGATCTTTTGACATAGAGGCTTTGCACCATCACGTGATGGCAGCCATGACAGGAGGCAGGAACAATTGATTCTGGTCTAATCTAATTTACATAAAAAAGGATTCAATTTTCCAGGGGGAAAAGACTCTATTGTTATGCCCCGTCATGGCTGCCATCATGTGATGGTGCAAAGCCTCTGTACTAACCAAGTAATTGCAAGCTAGAAAGCGGGTTTCGCGGGGACCCTGTAAATCCGCCATTGCCTTTGGTAGTCCTTTTAGATTTGTGACACTGTAAGAGGTGCCAAATTTAAGAGGTACGACGAGGTACGACGAGCATCCCCACCCTATTCTTTAACTTGACACTTGTTCAACAGTTGGTTTTCATGGTTTTTAATTACTGTATCTGTGCTGTACATCTATGCATGATGGTTGCAACACATTATCAATTTATTGAGGAACTAGTGAAAAAGCACATCTTCGATAATTGCAAACAAAGGAGGTTTTTAAGTCATTCAATTAATCCAAGCTAACCTAGGTTTTTCAAGTCTGTGAGCAGGTAGACTTTTTAAACCTTTCTACGTACTTCAGTTTTATCTGATAAACGAGTCAGAATCTTATTGAATCTATCTACAATAAATTGTATGTAACCTTATGAAAAGGAAAAATACAAGTGAATAACCTTATGAAAGATAATCACAATCGTGTACACTAGCTGTTATCGTGTAATATCTGAGAACAGGTAGTAAAATACACTAGGAATCTAACTTACCGGTAATTTCTTTTTCCTTATGCTGAAAGATAATTAAAATTTTGTCCATAGCGGTCATGCATGGTGCAACATCTGAGAACAGTAAGTAAAAAATACAGTATGTGTCTAACATCGGTAATTTCTTTCTGCGTTTAATTAACAAGTGTTCAGTAGATCAGATGAACTAAGCGTTCTTTTCCATTCAAACTACGCGTTATTTCCCGCTTTCAAATTAAACAGTTGTCAATGGTTAGCGTGCTTATATCCAGTTCTGGATGCACGCCGGAGGCTGCTAAGCACGAATGAAGCGTAAGAGTCGCACGAGGCGCAGCAACTCTTGCTTCTTGAGTGCTTAAGCAACCTCCCAAGTGCATTCAGAACTGGATATAAGCATAACTAACGCATTGATCAAAAAAATATTTGTTAATAAAATGCACGCTCGCGCACGCTAAACCAATCAGAGCGCGCGTTAAATCGTGGCTATGTTATAATAATTATTATTTTCTTTAGCTTTTTAGGAAAAAAAACACACTCGTTTTCAAATAACTATAGCTAGCTCATGGCGCGGAACATTTGCCAATTTGCCCGATAATGTCATAGCAACATAACTATTAATCGTAAAATGGTTCTAATTCATTAAAGGAGTTCTTGATGGATGGAATAATAAGTCGTATGAGTGGAAAAGATAACCGCTATGGCTAAACTGGTGTTGTTTTCTATAAGCACCGCTTGTTTTTTATGCTTGTCCGTAACATTTCAGCTTTCCAAGGGTATGGTAACCCTTTTCGCTTGGGGTCACGTCACCAAACCTAGGATGCAAAGGGGAAAAAATCCTTTTATTATTCGCCATTTTGAAGTTAAGGAAAAAGCGGGTGGAGTTGGCATGGCAGTGCACTGTATTTCAGTTACCTTTTTCCTATAATGAGCATTATGAGCTAATTATAAAGCGTCGCCCTCCTACAAAGTACGGCGCATGCAGTAAAACCGTGAAATAAAAACAAAGTTGATACTGTCAAATAGAGTGCTCACACTACATCCGTGAAACAAATACTAATTTTTAGCACTAAATAGTGATAATTAAACAATAGAAAACAAAGAATTCTGTATGAAATAGTACTAATTAGTACTATTTAATGTTCACGGTTTTAGTGCGTGCACTCTAGTAGTTATTTAGTGACTAATAGTTGCTTTCACCCAGCTAGAGCATTCACTGCACAAAGACAAATACAAGAGACCATTTGTCTTTTTTGTGCAAAGAATGTTCTGGTTGAGTGATACGAACTATCAGTCACTAAATAGCTACTATTTGTCGGGTATCAATTTCGGTTTTACTTCATGGTTTTACTGCATGCGCCCTAATGTTGAGCTGCCCCTTTTCATTTCTGGTGTTCATTTTGACACATCTTCTATTTTCAAGGGATTGGGGTCAGTGATCTGTTATTGCAAAAGGACTCAGTGTTGCAAGAACGTTTTCATATAAAAATGAAAATAACAAATGACAAATAGGAATAATTTTACTTTTTTAAACAAACCTTATTATTATTATTATTATCATTATTATTATTATTATTATTATTATTATTATTATTATATCTAAAAACATCTTATTGCGAGAACGTTATCATATAAAAATAAAAATAACAAATTGGAATTAAGAGGAGAAAAGTAGAATAGTGTTATCAANTATTATTATTATTATTATTATTATTATTATTATTATTATTATAGTGTGGTTATTTCACTGTTTTGACGGTAGAGACCGACATTTTTCGATTATCTTGCAAAAGATGATATATACTAATACAGATATTATTTTCATTTTTGGACGCTTTTTTCAATTTGACGTAAACTTATTTTGGATTATAAAATGATCAAAGTTTTTGCATATCATTGCATAGTTCGACAAAAGCAAAACAAAAGAGAAATGTAAGACTAAAAACCTCAGCATCGTGATTGGCAGGTCATCCTTGTAGCTCAAAAGCCCAAAATCTTCATGCCACTCCATTGTGTTTATATTGCAGTTACACTTGCGCCTGCCACCAGTACAGTTTTCCGCCACACCGCATGCGCACTTTCCACTGTTAGGAGGAGCACCACCCCAGTAATTCAGTCGACTCCCGTCACGTGACACGAGCCAGGCATGGGATGAAATGTAAAGGGAATCAATAAATATAAAATACTGTCAACCATGACAATATAGAAAACAAAACATTTACTCGTCGTACTTGACCATGCAATCATCTCAACATCTCTCTACGCTCTAAAATAATTAATACTATTAGGTACTTATCATTGAACCATAGCACTCATATTTGATGTACTGTTCGCAGTGGGTTGAGACTTTTGTCAGTGCTCCCAGCTGTGCAATGACGTCAGATATTCCATCATAATTTACGTCACGTCCGTAACATCCTGGCTTTTCACATCCGGAAACAAAATTTCGATTCTCGCTGTCGTGACTCACGACTGTCACGCCAACACCATCTTTGTCACGCATGTCACAGAATACTTGGAATGTGTCCGCATTTCCACTTGCATCTGGGTTGATAGTGTAGTTTCTGGTTTCGTCGTATCCAAGAGATTTGGCGTGACTACAGGAACGTGGAACTGGTAAAAAAGATGATCTTTTAACTAGATGTCGTTCAATTATAAAACTTTAGTTGAATTGAATTGACTGATCGATAGTGGCATTCAGTCACATATGCCAAAACATGTTTTGCTATAAATAAATCGGTCTTCGTAATATTGAGCATTTTAATCGAATCTTATTCTATTGACCCGCACCATCTAAAGCACAATTTTATAACCTTTTACAGGAAATAGTGGTTGGAAAGGTTTAAGGATATATATCTATATATGATGAAGAGGCCTTTCCCCTTCCAAAGCGGGATACCTGTGCCTTCAATTCTTTTTATGTTTATAGCATAGTAATAATATTAGTATTTATTATATAATTACCAATGAAATATCTATTTTTATTATATAATTACCAATGAAATATCTATTTTTTTCTAYTTCGAAAAATTGATATCTTCACACGTGAAAATAACATGTTATTTTCACGTGTGAAGATAACACCATTGCGATGGCTATTCAAAAATACACGGAAAGAATTGCCTGAAAAAACCAAAACATACTTCATTGATAATCATATAATAAATAGAATATTACATGGCCGCTTGGAGATACGAATTTTATCTTCTCGTGTTGAAAATCTCTAACTCGTTCGCTACGCTCACTCGTGAGAGATCTTTTCAACACTCGAAGATAAAATTCGTATCTCCGCGCGCCCATGTAATATCCTCTATATATGATCTTTTTTGTGATGGGGATCATTTCTAGTGATACAACTCAGGGAATGTTTATGTGTCGCCGGGACTGACAAAAGTATGTAGGCTTATAACACATGTTTCAGCTGAATTATTAGCCTGCAAAGCAAGTGCAGGCGTTCTGGTGAGTTTGGGGAAAAACCGGYTTTTGGGGAACTTTGGAAATTTGGAACGAGCGAGAATTGAAACCGAGCAAAAAAGAAGCGAATGGGGGAGGTGGCAGGCTTCTTTCTCCCCCTCCCCCACCTTCCCTTTTTTGCTAGGTCCCATTTTTCTCGCGGGCACATAGTCGAAACAGGAACCCCAAAACGCCGAATCTTCCTCACACCCATCACAAGGACACCTGCTCTGTAGTGCAGCAGACTACTGAATTATCAACTGTGTATTTCAAATCCAATGAATACCTCAGAGGATAATTATATCCTTTCCCAGAATACCTTTCTTCTCATGTTCTATTTTCTATATATATTTTGAACCTGACTAGGATTTTACAATTGAGTGCATATACACCATGAGGAGGCAAATATGTCGGGTCTATTACCGAGTTTGAGGCTGTTTGGATGAATACTCCTAGTCCCGGGCCCAAAAACCATACATTCTCTCTCTCTTTTTTTACGATATTTTAAGCTGCCAATAGAGTCAGTATTTGCCCAAACGTTCTAAAATTCGATAAACTTAATCATGAACTTTAGTGTGATCTTTCATGTGATGGAGATGGATTTAATAATTAGAGTAATATTTCAACCCTCGTTCCCAGTCTCTTCCTATTTCCAGGAGACTAGACAGAGGGCGTTTTTCACGCGGCAGCCATCATGATGGTTTGAACAATACATCAGTCCACAAAGCGTAGCCTCGCGTTCAAGTGCTTGAGAATATACGACTTACACAACAACTCATAAGAATAATGGCTGCCGTGTGATAACGGTCTGTGATCTGGAGATATTATGACTACCCATGCAGTCCAAGCAAAGGGTAGCGGCTTCGTACAGTGACAAGTGATACAACATGCAATATTTCTATAATCAAATGCAATTCCTGATAGTCATTAATGTTTAACAACTTACATTTAAAAACTCATAGAAAGACTTATATAAATAATACTTGAAATGATTGTCTCTGACTTAAAATTTTTGAAACATCTTAAAGTGAGAGACGTAATATTTCAAGTATTATTATGAATCCCGACTTCAATCATAGTATTTTTAGACTTTTATAAAGTTCAACTATTAATTTTGCTTGGAAAAGCTAAAATTACAACATATTTTGAGAGATATGAAAAAATATTTTTTATTATATATTAATACAGTTAAGTATAATTCATTTCATTATCAATAATATATTATATATATTACGTATTATACACGTGTATATATTGTAGTTTTTTCTTGACTCCTAAAGGTATACTGACAACAGTTTATTATTCATTTATGACTGGATGATTTTCAGCCCCGTTCAATAAAGGCAATTAGAACTTCTAGTCTCTATATATTATACGGATATTATGCACTATGAAACTTCAATCTTAACCTAGTCGTGAAAATTTTGGTTTTAGACGAATCTTTTTGAAAAGTCTTACTGTAGTCTCGGTCCGCCCAAACTTAAACGCCCCGTCCACGTAACGTTTCCAAATTGTTTTTTCCCGTCCACACGTATCCATTTTCGAAGAGTTGCGCTTTCAAGGCCAATCCGCAATGGRAAAAAATCCCTTTTCAAAAAGTCATAATTCCTTTTCAAATAGAACGCTTCTAAGAAATATTCCCATAAATTTTCCCAAGTGTGCCCATAATTCCTACAGTGCCGCCAGTGAGATTGTTCTTCGGTTTAGAAGGTTTATTTTACATTGAATTTCATTGTTGCAGCTTATTGCCGTGCGTTAATTTTTTTAGGGTTTCCGCGTAAAAATTTGATGGGTTATACATGTATATTTTGAGAAAAAAAACCTTGTTTTTAAGAGAGTAAAACTTAATAGTCATTGGCTAACAAACCTGTGGCCCTTGATCCATGATCGAAGGTGAATTTACGAGAGTATGACTTTTGTTGTTCCGTGTATCTGTCACTGAGTTTCAAGAGGCACTAGTCATTATCAGTCTGATTTTAGTTAATCGTTACTTCCATGCGTCACCCTCGTGAAATAAAGTCGCTTTTCTATTCTATACTATAATTCACTTTCTTATAATTACTTACCTGAAGGAACTGTGTAAAAATCATAAAGGTCAGTCTTGATCAGCGCGCTGTCACCATACTTTGTCACGTCAAAAAGCTCACAAACGTGATGACCCTCCTTATTTTCTTGGAGTCCAAAGTTGAACGACAAGCACCTTGGTTTGTGAGTGCACATCATTTGACAATCAAAAGTCGTGTAAACACTCGAAGACGTTATGTTCTGGGCGTCTATACAGGAGTTGGGTATGCGTTTAAAGTAGGAAGAAGACTGAGAGTGGATGCCATTAAATGGTAACTGCCAGTCTTGAGCGAAAAGTAGCTCAGAAATGTAGCACGTTATGAACAAAGTGTAAGAAATAATCCATAGTACGAGTGAGCCAGGCATTATGAGTTGACGTTTGGCTAAGCTATGGAATTGGGTAACTTTGGAATGACACTGGTTTTATAGACTCTCTCAGTCTCTAGTGTTAAACCATATTCCGTTCAAGTCTATCACAAACAACACCGTATGAGGTATGACTGACAAAAGAGCCCCATGCGATGCAAGACCAGAATGCATCTTGCAGATGATTCAGCTGAATCTCTAAATGAATTCAAGCCGTGAAATGTTTATTAATATACACAATGGTAACTAACTGTTAGCTAGCTAGCAGGTCTTTCTTTCTTTTTTATATGTTATTCTTTTTTAATTTATTTGGGTCTCATGTAGAGGCATGTAGTGCATATTACTAATAAGAAACCTAGGAAACTCTTCGGGTTTTGTTACGGAAAAAAATAAGAATGTACTGGATCAAGAAATAGTTAGAGAAAGGCAAATTATTTCTCACATACAACAACTATAATTTTTATGATGAAAAACATACCTTTTCAGCCTTGTTAAAACTTTGTATAAAAGATCCCATACTTTCTGACTAAGGGACTATTGGTCACTATCTACCGGAATTGAGGGGGGTCACATGGTTTATAGATAACTGAAGGGGTCAGCTTTACATTGACGGGTATCAAATGGGGTGGATTACTCAAGTATCAGAAAGTATCAACAAGTGGTAAGGGGGAAGAGGGTCAAAAATGGTAGTGCCTCTTTATGATGTGCCAACAAAAATTCCAATGTTGTCGTACAAAGTTTTTAGCCCACCACCTTCGATCTCATGTGTTCGACTTTTGTACTTGAGTTTAGTAATACTTTGGTATATAATTATGGGTACAGAAACTGGGTTAAATGGGTATGGTTAAATGGTTAAATGGCAGTAGCAAAGTTATTTTTAATTACTGTACATAGATTTAGCCATGCAATACAACCCACTATTTCACCGAAAAACATTGTATTTRACCCATAATGCACCCGATGTATCGAATTCATCTCACTTGCATAATTTTTGCAAAGTGCAGTATGTACTTTGACTCTTTTGATATATATACAAGTATATCAAAAGTATATCAAAAATTATGGAATATTCTCCCTGATATTTTTTTCAGAAAGCCCTAGTGATAGAGAACTCGGAAAAAATATTAGGTAACTCATATTTATAATTTTGGGTATTCTTTTGACAGAAATAATCTACTCTGTAAATTAGATTTTTATGACACGTCAATAAAGTATTTATTTATCGTTATAAGGTTAAATTCCTTCATAAAAAGATAGCGACATTTATCCGTCCAAGACTTTAGCTAAGGCATCTGCCAAAAGTGAAAGCATGCCATTGGTTGCCTATTAAAAATCATTTACAGATTCTTCTGTCCAGCAGTGACGCTTTGTAAAAGTCTTCGTTGGGATCTCTTGTGCTCTAGCAAAACCCAGAATAATGGAAGAATAGATAGAACTGAAAATCTTTCGGAACTCTTGTTAAGAGATGAACTGCTGTTCAGTACAAAGGATAGCTTTCTTTTAATAATTCTTTTCACTTGATTAACAGTGGATTCCACAGTGACTCGAGATTTCGTTGAAGTCTAYAAGATAGTCTCGATATTACTTCTAAGTTACCATCGTCATTCACTTCGTGGATCAGTTCTATTATAATTGCTTTTATTTTGCAGCTCTCAAAAATGCTGGCCATGTAGCATGACGTGGCGTATATTAGGTGAATACCATCAGTGAATGTAGACCTGAACAGATCTACAACCATAATTCGAGGCTACTTTTGCATTTATTTATTCATTTATTTTTTGTTTTAATGATTTTATTACAAGTGACTTCGTTGGATGCTTGATCACTTAGGAAGACAGGATTCGCACCCGGCTACGCCTCGTACGACTCCGCTCGGGCCCTGGCTAAAAGAGAAAACGTGTTTCAAGAAACAGGTTTACCGCCTACGTGCCCCTGATGTTTCCAAGTTTAGCCACATGCAAAACATTGCTGCGTACAAAAACAACAAGTTTTGTTTTTAAGACGCGCTATAAGAATGTTTCTGCTGTGCGGCAGAAACATTCCATGCTTCCGAGACGCATGGAAACAATGTTTCCCGATGTTTCTTTGTTTAGCCACGCAAGTCGATATTCTAAAAGTTCGTTACGTAGCAACGCTCGCTCGATCTTTTCAAAACATTTGGACATGCGCATGCGCAAACCGGTTTTGAATAAACAGGTTTCCCGATTATTCCAATCTCGTACCCAGAGCCTGCGTATCTTCTGGCCTGCGGCGAAGAACGAGGACTCCATTTTTTGGCGCATGCGCAGTTTTCCGGAAGTGAAATATTATCAATGAAAATTATGCTTTCAAACACAGTTCTGTGTTTATTTTCGATCAAAATAAAAATTAGAAATCAGGAACATACTTTTTAATTTTTGGCAAGTCTTTTAGAACATGAACTATTATACCGCAAGTCCAAGAAATCCTGGTCTTAAAAAATGGATTATGCCAGAACCCTTGTTCTTCGCCGCAGGCCAGAAGAAACGCAGGGTCTGTGTACGAAATTGCGATTATTCCTGACATCTAAGAAAACATGTTTCGTCGTTTAGCCGGGGCTAAACAATCTGCCGCGTGCAACCAAAACTCGATGCAAGCACGCTAATCATGATGACAAATTAATTAAATATTTTATTAACAATTTTTCCATCTTTTTCTCCTCCTTCCTTTTTGTTCTTTTCTGCAATTCACTAATAATTCTGTTTTCATGAAAGTCATAGCTATTTCAATTTTGAGACCCGGTTTCTTCTTCTTCTTCTTCATATTCTTGTAATTCTTCAATGTTATGGTCAATAACAACGCATTTTGTCCGATGAATGTGTTCATTTTCGACACGAAAGAAGTTCCAAATAAACCTCCTGCAATAAGAAGTAAAAATTTAAATTCCAATTAAAAATTTTTTGATTTATCAAAATAATTGTTCTTTTCGTTTTCGAAAAGGTTCGTAATAGAACTAAAAGTGTGTGACAAACAAGCAAGCAAGCCAGCAAGCCAGCCAGCAAGCAAGCAAGAAAGCAAGCAAGAAAGCAAGCAAGAAAGCAAGCAAGAAAGCAAGATCTTCCACTTACCTAAACAATTCAACGACAGCTAAAAACCCCACTAAGACCTCTGAATTAAACAATCCTGCCTCACCAACTGATAGGGTTAGAATCCATGAAAACCTAAGCACGAGATCGCTGACCATACCAAAATAGTAGAAACTCTGCGGAAATAAAATAAACAACTTTGCTCTGAAGGAACATTCGTCATCATCTTTTGATTTTAAGCAAAAGTATAAGCGGGGAGCATTCATTTTTTAGGAGGAGGGTGGACCGAAGGAATCCAGGGGGCCCAAAGTTAGGGATTCCTGCGGCCCAACCCCCTCCTAAAAATGAATGCTCCCTATAATGGCAAAAATAATAAAAAATTAACAATTTTTAAATTTAAAAAAAATCTATTCAACTTTGATGGTGGTTTGAAGAATACTCCAACTCTTTGGTCTCTCTATATGCCCTCCTTTTACAGTTAAAGTTAGCTTCAAGTTGCAGTGAACGTGCTCGACGCTAAGGCTGGTCCTCTAATCTGGGACTGGTAAATCTTTGCTCCGGGCTAGTGAAAATCAGTACTCAGTAGTTGATAGACCTAGTGGGTTTTTTGGATTATAAATAATCTAAGGTAGTACATTACTATGCTGGGCTAGTGGATCAGTTATAGACTCACAAGCTTATTGCATAGTGTCTAAGAAAGTTACTGTCAAGCACTGCAGTTAGTTTAAGTTTTACAAGACGAGCGAGTTTTGTTCCATCAGCACCTAATGCAAGCCATCTATCTAGCTAGAGGTTGAGAAAAAACTGGGTAGAGTTGACGTTGCGGCGCTCTGAGAGATATTTTCCAAGATGGCGTCTATTTTGGCCTCTAAAACAGTCCCAACGGAAAAACACTACAATGTCAACCCGAACCAGTTTTTTCCTCAATCTCGGATGGTTAATATAAGAGTCAATACAAGCATTGCAAGACGTTTCACATACCTTATGTTTAAACATTCGTCTGGTCCGAAGTAAATTGTCTTCCCTTTGAAGTAATCCCCAGTCCATCTTAATGTCCCAAGTAAACGTATAACAAGTGCTAACAAATGCAGACACCACCCAGCCGAAGAAATAAAAGTCTAATTGTGTTGATCCAGTCTCCTCTGAAAAAAAATTATAAATACATTCTTTAACAATTTTAATATGTTAAGCGGGAAATTAGTCTCCCATCGCTCCCTCCCTCTCTCCCTCCCTCCCTCCCCCCGTGGACCGTAAGAGACAATAAAACGTCTTCGAGGTAGACTAGCGGGAAATACGCGCTCAAGGCGATTTGTCGGGCCAAGTCATCGGCCTGACACAATAGGGAAACAAATCGCAAATCGTGCTTGTAGTTTAGAGCCCCGATACAAGCCCAATCCGAGGAAATTGAATCTGCCCGATTCACAAAATGTTTAGCACTGTCATAGATATTTTAATATCTGCCCAATTTTTCACAAAGCAATGAAATCGGGTACTAAGCTAGCTACACACACGATTTGCTTCCCGATGCAGTCGGACGAAGAATGAGGTCCGACAAGTCGCAGCTGCCTGCAAACGGGCCTTCACGGGACCAATCAGGTCACGTCAGCCAAGAAAGTTTCTAAGTCACCCCTTTCACGTTTTCCTTGACTGCACTCACTTCAGGTATATTCTTTTTTTGGATGTTGTTGCTGTTTTGTACTAACCTTTTCGAGTGGTGACAATCGTGGAGAAAAACACAACAAAAAACGTAGTTGAATATTTGCCAGCGTTTGCTAAGTGTGGAAACTTTTGTTTGGTATCGTTGTATCGCCGTAAACTCTGTGAAAACCGCCACCAGGCCGGTAAGCAGGCTACAAGAGGTCGAATACCGTACAACTTACTGCCGCACCGTGCTCTATCTGTAAAGAATAGTCAGACATGATTATAGCAGCAACACTATACGACAACACTTCTACTATATAGTCGTCTTTCTGATTCAGTTATATAGATGCCATTTTCGATGATCGCAGACTCATTTATACATTTTAGTTTATTCATAAGTTAGCTATAGACCCCTTGCATGTAACGTCAAAGCAGCTCAATTTGTAGGACAAAAGAAAAGAAAATTTCAATCTCCTAAGAATTGGAAACCTATCGTTATGTCCTGCATGTGCTGCATGCAAGGGTTAATCCACATATACCATTAAAAGTCGTCCGTGGGATTTCAAATCATTGATATTGTTCAAGTTGTACATTTTTTACATTGCAGTTAACGCTTGTGAATCATTTGCTCTTGTAAACTAGGCTAAAAATGTAAGAAGTCTGTAGTCTGTAGTCAAGGATCACAGCCGCATTGACGCAACGAAAAGAGTGTATACCGGTTTGTATTTTTTTTTTTTGGTTTTTTTTTTTTTTTGTTTTTGTTTTTTTCTTGTGAACTTTTCTTATTCTTCGTTTGCACATGACGTCATAGCCGCCATCTTGCATCAATTTAATAAAATCCTTGCCAATGAACTCTTTCATTATATCATCCAACATGGCCGCCATGACTTTTGTTCTTTCACTCCCCTGGGAATACTGGAAAACCATCAATACTGGCCAAAGCGTTTAATGGCTATCAATCCCATAAAATCGCAGCGTAGTGCCGTAGTGGTGCGAGCGCTCGCCTCTCATCAATGCGACCCGAGTTCGAATCCCGCCGGGATCTGTGTCGTATATGAGTAGAGTTGTTTGTTGGTTCTCTCCTGTGATACAAGGGTTTTCCGGGTTCTCTGGTTTTCCTCCCTCCGCAAAAATCAACTCCTAARTTCAACACGGAATTCCGGACGAACACGGAATGAGGGCCACAGGCTTGTTAGCCACTGGCTATTAAGTGCTACCCTCGTGAATAAAAAGACGATTGATTTTGTCCCTCTCACTCATTCTCGCCTTCTACGTCTTATGGGTTGCATTCCACTCCAGCTTCGAGTTCTCTCTCTTTGCTCAGCCTTAGTCTCGGTTGTGCGTTATAATATTCAGCTATTCAACCAAAACCCGTGACATTTTAATCAACTCGTATTGTTCCGTAGTGCGTACATTCCTTACTATACAATGGACCTAAATAGATGAAAAGAACACATCTGTACACAATCGAGGCTAAGACTGAGCAAAGGCGAACTCGAATTGGGAGTATTGCCTCATGTTGCTGGGCACCGGACCGTTTGGAAATAAGTGTATAACATGTCAATATACATAAGGTATACCTTGAACAGAATAGAAATCCAAGGCGTAGTAACACGCGATGTATTCCATGTCAAGAATTGCTACAACCAAACTATTTAACTGATCTGCCAACCAGAAATCCGCAAAACCAACCGGATGRAATGGTGTTGTCAGCACGCGCCACTAGAACAGAAACACAACATGGGCTGTTAGTTTGTAATGTTTTTGAACAAGACTGATTTCCTCTAGAGAAGTTTTATGACTGTGAAAAAGTCGGTGCCGTATGCGTGCCTTGCCGCGACCGTGTTGTTTCCTAGAATTTTGATTGGGGGTTTTTATCTAGCGCAATGTGATTGGTCTGACATTGGCGTGACCAGTCCGCGCCATGTTCCGAGCCGTGTTTCGGACATTTGTAAATTCTCAAGAGTAAATTCTCGTGCAATGTGATTGGTCTGGCGTATCCCTTGCTGTGTCATGACCGTGTTCGTGCCGTGAGCTTTTCACAGTCATACGAAAACTGCTCTATGAGGGAAACGTTCTTGCGTAGCACTGGAGGGTTTCGCCTGAACATTGGAATCAAAAGCTAAGGTGGGGAAAATTTCTTGCCCAATCATAATGCCTGGACATGCTACCATGATGACCATGCACGGCACCCCCGTATCTGGTGTTTTTCCATTGATACAGAATCTGTATTAATGTTATGCTATGTTGTCGTAAGAAAACAGATTTTGATTCAATGGACTACTTCGAAGATACAGCGGCCATCTTGGAACGCAAGGCATCATGGGTCTTTCAGGGGCAAACAAAGCCTTGTTACAGCAATAATGTCGATTGATACTAACAGCTCACCACAAGAGAATACAACAAAAGATGAATGAAGACGACACATCGATCACTTTCATCCATAAAAAAGAAAAGCATATGAAACTCTATATATCTTTCGTCATCTTTTTTGTTTTGTTTTGCCCCTGGCAAGACCGCCGTATCGTCGAATTAGTAGAGTCCATTTCACAAGTAGAACGCCGATTTCTATCATCTTGTCTAAAGTATGGCTGCCGTGAAAATTCATAGAATAAAGAGATAAAATAGGTTGTGACTTACCAGTGTTCGTATCAACCAAAACCTTGCGCTGCGATGAGAGACTTTCAGGGTATTCGCGAAGAAAATAATCAGAAAACACGTCAATGCCAAAGGATGGAAATATCTTGATACGCCGAATTGATGAGAGAAGATAAATAACACTACACTAATACCCCAGACAACTGCAAAGAATGTGGCTTTCTGGATAATAAATAAATAAAATCATAAAAATTATAATTGAGAATATGATTATTTACGTAATGATAAAAGAGTAAATCTTTGCTTTTAACTAACCCACTCTTTTGTCTTTTGATTGTTTCTTTCGTTTTCTTGCCCACCTTGTTCT